GTGGCGTTCCTTGGGAGAGGCCTATTCTCATCTCAATCAATGTTTCATGTAAATCTATTTAAAAAAACATTCATAAAACGAACACATTACAAATAGAATAAAATTTTATTTATATTATTTACTTTAATTTACGCGCCAGATATTTAAGGATTTGGGGATTATTGGGGATGTATTTAAGGATTGACTGGGTACGTACGATTAACTTTAGCAACTTTGCATATTTTCAAGACGATCTAAAAACCATAATATATTTTATTTTTCAATTATACCAATTTGATCATATTTTTTATTTGGAATCTAATAAAATACTGCAGTTATTGTATAGGCTTTTCGCAATCTTATTTGATTACGTAGCTTTTAAAAATTGGAATAGTATAACTTTATCTATAACGTAAGTATAGATGTAACAACCAAGGCAACAATTTAATAGGAATTTTTTATATTGGAGGAAAAATTTCGTACTGTCGCTGTGAAGATTTTAGATGCTTTATTTTTGATAGCTTTGCCGATTTGGAAAAGGCTCTGATAGAATTTTTATTTGCATCCGTTTGGGGGCAGCGTAATGATCCATCACCCTATTTCGTGCCATGGGTGTCATGTAACTGCCGTAAAACGAGTGTGGGAAATAACAGAAAAACGAAATGGCTTTTCATAGATGTTTGTACAAACCATCTCGTTTATAAAATATACAAAGTGGTGACGGGCAACTGCGTTACATGTGTAAGACATCTTGTACTGCAGTTTAATCCTCCTGTCAAGTGTGGTTAATCCTATACCTTTAAAAGAGCAATTCTTGCATATATATATATATAATCGGGATCTCGGAAACGGCTCCAACGATTTTCATAAAATTTAGTGTCCAGAGAGTTTCGGGGGCAATAAATCGATCTAGCTAGGATTTATTTTTAGAAAATGTCTTTTTGTCCGTGTTTTCAGGCAATGAAAAACTGCTACAATATAAGAAGGTAAATTTTGACACAGTGTTAATGATCGTAATAGCTCAAGTGGATATTGAGCGGTCGCAAAGTCATAATGCCTTGGTTCGCGTCCTGTCTTCTGTCCGACTTTTTTCCTTTTTTTTTCAAGTTCCCTTCTTTTGTGAGAAAATCCCTTTTTTTAGTATTTTTAACAATACGAAAATTTTAATTAAACTTATTGCACTCATGATTTTCTATTCAAATAACCAGTTCAGTTTTTTCTATTACGTCAATAGGATCAAAAAATATTATTCATGCTTCATCAGTATGTAATTTGTATCTAAATGTAATTTCAAAAAAAAAACCGAGCAAAGCTCGGTCATCCGGGTACTATTTATTTATTCTTTATTGCATTCCCTAAAACAAAAGCAATGTTCGGATATTATTTTAAAACTTCAAATCAAGTCCTGCCCTCGTACGTAGATGTTTATCTTTTTTACTTTGTCTTAAAATTGAATGACATCGATTAAAATTAGGACTGTCTACTGTTTTTGTTTATAACGTAGTAAATTAAGGTGTGAACTGGTAAAACATACAAGAGATTTTAAGGGAAGCAGGTACCTGCTTAAGTTTTTAAGACTCAGTAGTTCAACGAGGTGACTGATAGTAATCGTGTCGGGACTCTATTAAGCTGCTTTAATACTGTAATAACGGTTCGTTACACAAAACCTTAAGATCTGAGCTAAGCTTATGGAAAATATTATGTTTCACTTATTTTTCTGTTTTTATGCTGACTACAATTCAATAAGAAAACGTGATAAATCTAAACAACCCAGTATGTATAGACATACTAAGATGTTTTGTATCTTCGTTTGGTCAGTTGGGCTTCAATTAAATTAATTTGTAAAAGAATATAAATACATTGGAAGTTAAATTATTACACTTTAAATTAGCTTGACCCGTGAGTATTTTTGTACGATTGCTATTGAATTTGGTGAAATTTTGCAGACGTATTAAGAACCTTTGTCAATACAATAATTTCGTGGCTATGGCCTAGTTATTGTATCTACGATCAGCACAGCACATGTTTAATGCACGTCGGGTTATTTTAGTTGGTTTCGATTGTATATTATTTATTTTGGCTTTCGTATGTATTGCGACTGTGCCACCATGGAAACGCGTGTCCCCATACTATAATCCGTAGTTACTTCTACGAGTATGTTACGGCAATATTTTCGCGCGATTGTTCGGTAGTAAATGTTCATTAGATTACTTTATTTAGTTATATCCATTACAGCTCACATTTCATTGTAAATTTAGGAACATTACTTTACTTTTTACCTAGGTTCAGTTCTGGTATATTATCAAAAAATGAAGGCTATACACATACGATGTCACCTCCAAGGACTAAATTTAAATAGCTTACAGTCTGTAATTATACTGAATCTCCACATTCTACAGACCGGAATACAAAATTAGGTATACCTTTATCCAGTGTTTTTATTTAATGCTGCGATGCTATGCTATAATATTAATACCTAGTGACACAAAACGTGTAGCACAAACTTAAGTTTTTTTATAGGATAGGGTGACAAACGAGCTCACAGTCCACCTGATGGTATGTGGTTGCTGCGGTCCATAGACATCCACATCTATCCTCGATTACAAATCAAAATGCAGTTGCGTTGTCACCCGTAAGGACTAAGATGGAATGCCTCGTTTCCAGTAAAAAGGGTCTCCGGTTCTCTACACTCACCATACGAAACACAGCAGCATTAAGCAGCTATTTCACGCTGGTATTCTGTGAGAGCGTGGTCCTTCCCCGGTCGAGCCGACCCATTCGTGCTACAACTATACTACTAATATAACTGCAGCATGGCTCTACCACGTATGGAGTTCCTTTATACATCATTTACAACACAAATCTCTTTGTATTACACTTCGGAGTACGTCGCCTTATCGAAATTACTCAATAAGACATTAATTTCATTACAAGTTACGGGAACAATGTATATCTATACTATCTTTTTTCTATTTATACAATTCTTCTGTCCGTGTGTAAGTGACTGACTCCTCTTAACGGCTAAACCAATTTTGATGAAATTGAAGTAGATTCAGGAATGGTTTAGATTTACAATTGGACACCGTAGCTTGCGCTGTTATCGAGATCAAGAAATCACCCGTGCGATGCCAGGGCGGATCGCTGGTTATAATAAATATATATATATATATATATATATATATATATATATATATATATATATATATATATAATTATTACAGTATAATTTTTACCTACGTTTGTATAAGAATTTTTTTTATTTATATGTAACAAAAATTTAGAATGTTCCGCACATTTGTTATTGGGTTACAGTGTATATCAGAGAGTGTTAAAATGTGTGTTTTCGTAATAATGTCATATATGTATAGTGTTAGTGTATTTAGTAAATGAATTAATTAATAAACACTTAATCATAATGGTAATCAGCGTTTTTATAAATTCTGTATGTTTTCACCAAGGCTGAAACGCTGCAACCATATTATGATTAGAGCACGAATGGGTATAGTTTCGACCAGGAAAGGTTCACGCTCTCTTAGAATAAGCCATAAAATGGCAGCTTGAGGCTGCTACTGTATTTTGCATGGTGAGAGATCCGGAGACTCTTTTTACTGATAACGAAGCATTCTATCTTAATCGTCAGGGGTATCGCGTCTGTATTTTGATTTATAAACGAGGATAGATGTAGAGTTTATTGGCTTACAGCAACCATTTACTATCAGGTGAACTGCACGATTGTCAAAATATTAATCTATCTGCAATTAGATGAGTATGTTAATTTTAGTAATAGCATTTGAATAATTAATAGAATTAAATTATGCACTTCCGACAGGTTTTAAAATTGATACACTCAGAGTTCAGAGTTACGTGAACATTTTCTTTATCTTATTACACAAAAGCATGAGGACTGAGGTGTGTGTTTTAAAACCATTCCTGAAAGACGTCTTAAATCTGACTGCAACGTTGGTTAATTCTCTCTGAACAAATTTCTTTGTTAATGTTAAACAATTGAAGTGGTTATTTAGACTTTTATGAGACAGTTGTGGAAATACAATAATAAAAATATTTCTTAAGGATAACGTAATATTTGGTCGCCTTACCGAAATTATTAGGTAAATATGCCTGTACTTATATAAGTATCATATCGGTTTTACTTATAATTTTTGTATAATTATAGAATTACATTACCTACGCACTTAGGTTTCTTTTAAATTGATATGCCCCGAGTTCAGTGTTACGTGAAATTATTCTTTATTATTACACAAAAGCATGAGAACAATGGCGTGTATTTTGAAAACATTCCTGTAAGAGATCTTAAATCTGACTGCATCGTTGACTCAATTTTTTCTTAACAATTTTCTTCGGTAATATAGAGCAGTTGTTCCGTTTATATATAAAAGTTTGTGCAAATACAATAACCAAAATATATTTAAAGACATTTTTTGGCTACTATTTTACTATTTTTCGCATCACATTGTAGTAATATTGTATAACAATTTTATTAACTGTAAATTAAATTTTACACATTTTATATTATCGATATGATGAAGAATACCTTTGTCGGTTTATCGTGTGTTGTCCGTTGCAATATAATTTGACGAACAACTTTCGGAATCTTTTATCCTAGGCGAATGTAAAATAAAAGTGTCAAGTGCTCTCACTTGGCACTTTTGATGAGCACAATAGATCCTCTCTTGTTTTTGAAACGCAGCTCTCCTTACGTCACCCGTTTTAATAACGATGTTAAATGGTGCAAAACTGTTACGATATAAACGCACCATTGTTACTTATAGTCCAAGGCAACGCTGATGTTTTCGCCAGCTTTCTGAATTAACATGCGACGTCTGACAGTGATAAGGATTACGTAGGCAGGTTCGCTATGCAAATAAGGCAACACATTCGCATTGGCAGTTCTTCATATTGTTTATTAATATATATATATATATATATATATAACCTTAAAATTAAAATGTAATGTGTAATCTTTGAAATACAGTTTTACAAAATATATGTCATCTGTAATTTTAACGCATTAGTAAGATGTGACACCAGAATATAAGCATGATGTGTATCGCGGATAAGAAAACGAGGCAAGCAAGTAGCGGAACGAGAAATATGATCAGGTCGGGCAAGGTCACCTGGACGACAATCGTCCTAGGCAAGGACAGAGGTGACTCACCGAGGGGCTGATGCAAAGCTGCGTGCGCGTCGCAGTCAGCACAGATCGCAGAGCGTAACATCCGTTCACGTTGGAGCCTCCGCAGGAGTTGTAAATGCTGCGGTGTAAACACCGTGCCCGAGCGCTCGCCCACCAGCAAAACGTCCCCCGCTTCCCACCAGGCCTGTTCCCGCAGGGTTCCATCGCGATTAAAAAGGCCCATGTCTTTATATCCCTCAGGGGGACTGAGCGCTCCCGGCTCCTGCTCCTGGTAGCGCTCGCACGCGCCACATCCCGAGCACTCGTCATTCTCATCCTCATCAGAGTAACCGCACTCGTCTCGTACTACGATGATATAGTCGGCCTCGAAAAACTCATTTGCGCTCTCGTCGAAAACCACCCTGTGTTTTTTGGGCTTGTTTCCCTTTTTGAGCGACGATTTTAAGTTTTCGTGATCCGTGTTGTGGCGCGAGTCGCGATCGGCGCGGTCGCCGCGCATCGTCGCGTGGTGTCGCGGCGCTGACGGACGCCGGTGTGGCGGACGGCGACCATCGACGGCAGGCGACAAGCGGATCGACGGCGACTGCAGCGCCGCACCCGCCCGCCACCGCCCGCGCCCTATCGATCGCGCTTACCGCCCGACGCCGTCGCCACACGACACAGCATCGCCACGGTTTGCCACTCGTTAATAAACATGCCACCGCGAGTCGCTTATCATTTGGGCACAGTAAGGTGGCGGCTTTAAAAATTAAGATCGAATTACATAGTTTATTGTTGGCATTGCATAATTATTTGGATTTCTGTGGCATCACGAACGTTTGTCGCAGGTACGTCTTTGAAAATCTACACGAGGAGAAAGACAGACCGTATGAAACGAGCATGCTTAATAAGGTAGTTTTGACGAAACTTTTTACACCTAATTATAAATTAGACGGAGGAGTCAACCCTTAGGGCCACTCTAACTCTACATTATATAGCCTGTATATTTACAGTTTTATAAACTGAAATAACTATAACTATATTCAATGTTCCTTTCCTCCTTGTTTATTTCTTTCTAATTACTTAATGCTAAATGAGAATTTTCATAAGAATATATCCTTTTTTATTTTAAACTATTTGTTCAGGTTTTGAGCATAGAAAATGTAACTTAACGGTACGGCGACTGGACCAAAAACTTAAATTTTATAAATTTGTAATGCAACACAATGCTTTGTGAATGTTATACAATGTAAATACAAACAAAAATTTATTTTATATTATGAATATACTAAATAGTTATGTAATTTATAGATAAACGTTCTTTGGATACAGACATCGACGATGTTTCATTGAGGGCTTTTCGCCTTAACATATCGACCAAGATTTCTTTCTCTGTGGCCAGAAACCTTTAGCCTTACCGGTAACTGGGCATTTCTATATTTTGTTGTGTTATTTATCTAAAATTTTAAAAAATATATAAAGTAGTTTTATTGCATATAGACAGCACAGTGTGGGATTAGAATGTCAAAATTACCTAAAATCTAAGGAGTCTCTAAATTAGTCACCAGTTAAAGATATAATAATTGGCTTTTAGTGTTAAAGTCGAAAGAAATCGTTGCATTGAGAAACGAAATGTTTGTTTGTAAATATTATGAATCAAACTACTAATACTAGAGGACACAGAATATTCACATCCGTACTTCCTATGAGTTACATTACTGATTGTACCACACTTTCAATCTTTCTAATGCTTTGATTAGCCATAATTTTAGGTTGAAATTAAAAAAAAAATAAACAATAACACTAGCACAAAGAAAAACAAAAATATTGTGACTATAATGAAACCAATTTAGTAGGACAGTCTCTTAGTGGAAGTGGAACGTAACAAAACAGTAAGGCTATGTTCTCTTTCTATACCAAAATGGAAAATCTAAACTTTAACACAGATAGACACTGCTAAGTTAATTTATTTTAATCAAATCAGCTATTTATTATCTCATAATTACGAGATCAGCAACTAGAGGCAATTTTTGGTAATAATCAAAGACATAGTCAGTCATATTACATCAACAATTTGAATAATAAAAATGTTCATTTCTGATTTATTTTTAGCATGCTAGAGCCACGCTGCAGCTGTATTATAGTTGTAGCACCAATAGGGAAGGACTATGCTCTTACAGAATGATAGCGTAAAATAGCAGCTTTGTATTGCTATTAAACAAAACTATTTTTATGGATTTTATCGCGTTTAATTACTTATTTTTAAATCCCTACGTTCCAAGTTCTTTATTGTCTTTGTTCTTTGTTCTTTATAGATGTTTGATAGTCATCATAGTTATCCCGGCTACCTTCAGTTTTTGAAGCAGCAGAATAAGCTTACAATATCTTGAAATCTTGCAGTGATTTGCTTGGGTTTAGATTTAACTTTGTTAATTATCGGATCCCAAGCAAATGGCAGCAGCCAACCATCTTCTCTATTTTTTTTTAGGGTGACAAACGAGCACACAGTCCACCTGATGGTAAGTCGTTACTGTAGCCCATAGACATCTACATCTATCCTCGATTACGAATCAAAATGCAGATGCGTTGTCACCACTGAGGACTAAGATGGAATGCCTCGTTTCCATTGAAAAGGGTCTCCGGTTCTCTAAACTCGACATACGAAACACAGCAGCGTTAAGATGCTATATTACGCTGGTATTCTATGAGAGCGTCCGGTCGAGCCATACCATTCGTGCTACAACTATACTACTAATATAACTGCAGCATGGCTCTACCACGTATTATTGCAATTAGGATGTCTTTTTAATTTCAAAAGCTTCGCGTATCAGTCTTAGTAGGAATCAGTGTTCTTTTGCGGGGGTTTGTGGTCTATCAAATCTAATATAAGAGTGGAGATGAACTTGAACATGTTCACAAATACAGACTTCCTGGACCTTCGGTGCTTCACGTCAGCGACATGTTCTTTAACGTAGGCTTTTATAAATCTTTTTGTTTGTCTACTACTCTAAACTAGTTACTCTTGACGGATGATAAAAATTGACTAAACTTCTTCGGCGGCTTCTAGTAGGTTTTAATTAAAGCACGGAACAAGATGTATACCACCTTATCTGTGACTCCTCTGACATATGGAAGTACAGCGGGCACACTCTCGACCGCCACTGCAGGATAGGCCGGTGACCCGGAGCTTGCTTTCTTGCAATACTTACTTAACGTGCTAAAGCTCCGTGGCCTGATTTTTTATCACAGATCCCTTGTGCTCTCTGCAATAAGGATTTTCCCACGGTAGCTAACTGTGATGGATGATGGTAAGCTTCACCATTTAGATATTGGTTTGTATGAATCTTTTTCCTATACACAGTGTGACCAATATTGTAATCTAGTTTTTGGATGATTAAAACATCCAGGATAAGCTAAATAATTATTTACCTCTAACTCTATTGTAAATTGTATTGAAAATAGAGTTAGAGGTAAATAATATAAATATATAAATAAAGGACAAATGTAGTTATGAAAGTATCGTCTGCGTACCGCTTGTAGAATTTTTTAATTTGGTGACTTCGACAATACCATCATGTGCCAAACCACCGAGGTTAATAACCATACTGATAATACATAAACCATATTGTCCCTAATTCACTCAAAATTATTACAACTACTTAATTCAAGATCTCCGTCATCTGCCGTACTCACCAGACCTTGCGCCTTTGTAAGCGCACTTCTACTTTTTCCAAAATTTGGATAATTTTTGCGGGAAACATATTCAATACCCGAGAGGCAGTATAAAATGCCTTTGAAGAATTTGTTGTTGTAGAAATAAAAAATATACAAAAAATTTATGTTAAGTTATTTCATAAAAAACGGCAATTTCATAGGGCCTAATATTTCGTAGACGGTAAGCATAATATAGTTTTATTTTGCCAATAACATTTCATTGATTTTCCGACTTAAAAGGAATTATTACAATATAACGAAGTGAATAAGGCTATATCAAACTTGATATACTGGTTTTACGTCTATGATTCTCTTTTAAACGATAATAAGACGAATAAGTAGTATTAAATTCATTACACCTAATGGTAAGCAGGTGAATGCCAGTGTGGTTTTAAACGGGGAGGAGCTGAACAATGTTGTATCCACTGGTTTTCTCTGAATTAATTTTCATCAATCAAAATAAATTACGTGAAACATCAATTGGGCGCTCATATATCTAAACTAGCAAGAAAACTTAGTTCTGCAGCATATGCTGTAAAAATAGATTAGAGGCCTTACATATGTTGAAACAGCTGAAGTAGTTTATTTAGTCATTTTCATAGCATCATGTCATATGGAATTTTGCTATGAGGTAATGCGGATGACATTGAAACTGTTTTTGTTTTGCAGAAGAGAACGATACGAGCAATTTATAAATAACCTAGATCCGAAGGAATCGCTTCGAGATAATTTTAAAGAAGTGAATAACTACTGTATGTATTAACTTCGGCTCTCAATATACTTACGAAAATTTAATGTGTGTACACAAAAACATTAATAGTTTTATTAATAAGAATAGTACATTCTATAAATACCAGGAACAAGCACTAGTTAGTTATATCAGTTACTCGACTCCAAAGAGTCAGTAACTGGTATTACTAGCTAGTGCTACGCTTTTACAACATAGTCCCTGAAAATATCAATAAGTAAAAATTTTATTAGGCAAATATTGTCTAGTAAGGGTTATTATACTTGATGACTACCTCGTTAGTCTAGTGGTTGTAGCAGTGCGACTGCTGATCATGAGGTCCTGGGTTCGAATCCCGGGTCGGGCTAAAAAATTATTGTTGAGTTTTTCCGTCAATAAATTCTCAGTAGTTGTCCGTAGTCAGGAAGTTGGCGGTGTCTCACCCCCGTGCCTCGGAAAGCACGTAAAGCCGTTGGTCCTTGATGAAATATAACTTTCAATAAGCGTTCTTGTAATTTAAAAATTATTTTATTATATAGTAAGCTAAATTTTTGACGTGATTAATCTGTGACGTGACGTTTAGGTAACGTGACTTATATGTGGCCATGAACCTGAAATACATATAACATCTGTGGCAGGTTAAGTCAGCCAGTGTCCACAACTTTGAAATGGGCACGCTGGGCAAGAGGGTTAGGGTTCTCCCTGAAAAGTCACCAACTAAAAATATATATTTATTTTACAAAAATATACTAGAATTCCCTGACTATGATACATGCGACTATGATACACTGGCGAATTCAAAATTACTTTTTTTCTCTAAATTATATTTCACATCAGCCTTTTTATCTATTCCTATATATCCTATATATCCATTTTATAACATTGCAGTGGCTGGCTGTAACATTGAAACACAATTGAAACAACAGTTGTTGATTAAGCTGAGAAGAACTCTCACTTACATGCCATTAAATGTTTGCCTGCCTATCTATCCTTCTGTCTGAGCTAATTTCTACGGATTAGCTAAACAGATTGTAATGAAGACTTGACGAACAGATAGCATAGCAATGCCAGGAGCGATC